GTATCCTTTTCTTTGGACCAGGTCACTTGCCTTGATATAGCAACGTAAAAGCGTAAAACATGCAAAACCTGAAATATCTTCCCAGCTGCGCGATGTCAGCGACAGATTCTAAAACAGTATTATGACGCTTCTGAAACTGTATTATGATGCAAAATCTCCAGTAGACGTTAAGCATTCTCCAAGCAGTGACGCATGCTAGGGATTTAGTTACATTGGCACATTTCAATACAAAAGAAATACACCAAAGGTAATTTACTTCAAGAAGTTGTCGCTTCTTTATACTAAAAGTCAGTTTTTACACAAATTACACTAGTAACTAGTTTTAAATCATATTTCACTTTCATGCCTGGTTTCCCTATTCGATAGGCACTAATGCTAAGTAATATTAGTACCAAGGCAGAAATCACGTTGCTAATTGAAAATAGAAAATGCTAAAAACAATATTTACTAAATAATATAGTCGTAAGAGCTCTTTGTTATTCTGGGGATGCTCAGCAATGGAAACTAAAAAATACCACAGGTTGGGTTTGATTTCACGAAGAACGCATGCTCCGGTTTTTCAAAGCCTGCCCTCGCGGAAGTTGGATCTAAATGTAACTTCCGGGCACGCATTCGAAAACGGCTGCCAAGGCAGCGTATTCTTCAGCGTTCCTTCAACGCTGTATTGATTCGTTTCTCTGCTATCGGTGGAATTGGCGAGAAAATGAAGGAAATATCCTGTACACACACTGGACTCTTTAGTGCTCTCAAGTGTTTTATTTTTACTATTCTTTCGATATCTACTAACGACCTAAAATACAGTGTTTGATATAACAAACATTCAAAATGTAACCGCGGTATGTGATGAGGCAAAGAATGAACGCTCGACACGATCCAAGCCCTAATGGAAATTAACGAAACTCCTGAAATGCTCGAGTTCTTGTTTATAGAACACCCTAGGTATAAACAAGTGCCTCGAGTACTATACTTCAGATTGCCCCATAAAGACTGACATTCTTACTATCATGACACAGTCTGTCTAAAGAGGGCTGAAAATTCCCTATTTTAGGAAACTGCTAATAGATTGCTCACCAGTGACAAAAGTATGAAGATTTTCTCTATGTAGAATTGGTTGTTGATAGGAGGCTGCATTTGCCTCTAACAAAATTACAACAAAACGACTTGGACCCTTGCAATTAACTGATACAGAATATTGAATAATCAACTTAATCTTCTCTACATAAATTTCGAAAATCGGTAAGTATGTCCACCCGTGCTATGGAGTAATTTCAGAAAAATAAAATCTTTAAAAGAACCACTAGCAGGACCAAATTTTCACATTTTTGGAACTACGGCATGTAACGCCTAATTTTTGCCGCACATTACAGTACTTCTCTTTTAAAAGTTATTACGAAGTATGACGAGATAGTAAGTATACATCGATTTAACCATTGGGAAAATAATTATCCCCGAAGAAAAACACATGTAAAGCAAGCAAAATTGTCTCTTTCACTTAGAGCAGTCGGTAAAAACGGATCTCCACAAAAATTCACGTTTCAAAAAATCTTATGGAAAGTGAAACAACTTACAAAAGTCATCAATTTCTACAGAAATTTGAAACTCATTTTGAAAATGGAAGGCGCCAAAGCCATAGTATCACTAAATTTTTCGACAAAGGTTAAATATTGGCAACACGCGAGGTTCCTTTTTGTTTGTTTGTTTGTTTGTTTGTTTGTTTGTTTTGCTTTTTTGAACGCTGATCTAAATACACAGCAGACCGCCTCCATCACAGTGGTGGAGGAAGCGCTGCATTACCACTCGCCGCCGCGAGCGCGTTCTGTCGCGCGAGGGGGGGGGGGGGGGCGTGTTCGGGCGACTGGTGCCGACGACCACGGGACGAGGTCAAGGTCGCACGCTCCAAATGAGGAAGCTGACTCACGCGGAGCGCAGCGGCGCCGTCTGGGGAGGTGACTCCACGCGCGGATTTCCCGAAACGCGTTTCCGCCGCCGACGCGGCCTCCCACGCGCTCTCCCTGCTCCGCCTCACCCCGGGCAGCTGCTGGCAGCCTCCCCCTCTTATTGGTGACTTACTTTCTCCATCGATTTTCATTAGTTTGATTAATGATTGCGCGTCAATTGCTAAGGCCATTAGATACATAACTCTAGTGCACGTATCATCGCGGCCAACCTCCTTTTTTTTTTTAAATTTAACCAATCAGGTATCAGCGCGGCACTGCCCCGGGACAAGCTCTAAACCCCAACTGGTCTCCCGGTATGTGTGGTAAGTGTATATGTGGAAGAAAGGGGTAACAATAGGACAAGGAAGAGGAAGGAAAGATCGCGCGCAGTCAGTCGCCCATTGTTAGGGCACTGCTCTGGCATTCGCCTCGTGTTGATCGGAGAAAAAACACAGAAAACTACCGATCCGATCAGAGCTGTCAACCGCCAGAATTCTCCTCCAGACAGCGCAGCGGCTGAATTCGTCCTAGCAATTTAGCGAATGTCTAAAATCCTGCCACCGCGGTGCACCGCCATCAGTTGCTACCCTGAGCCACCTCGGCCGGTGATTTTCATCACTGGGAGGAACTGTGATAGTGGTATAATTGACGGAGGTCTTACCACCATTTGATAGCCTGAAACGCTGCTTTGAGTGTACATGAAAGACTTTAATAATTAATCTGGCTTCAATTATTGACCTGATACTGTTTTATCATAAATTGTCCCCCGAGAACCCTTTTTATGTTGTTGCGTTGCGTTGCGTTGCAAGTTTTTAGAAGTCCGCTTCAAGAACGTAATTAAACTCCGAATACGAGACCAAATTGACAGGATGCATAGAATAATTGGCCCACTTTCGTCAATTTTGAACGGTTTCAAGGAATCATCCCCAACAGCGTTGGTTTCGAGGCGTCAAGGGCTTGTGGATAGGGTTTGCTATCTTCGTCCTAATACCCTCCCTTGCAGACTCATGATTGCTGTGAAGATGGAATGTCCCCACGCAACTCCAGGTTTAGAACGCGTTCGTGCCGCACGCGAGCGCCAGACATACGACACTACAATTCCACACACCTGACACGCATCTCCAATACTCGGATAATGCTAGACCTACTGGAAAGATGTGAGTGACTATCTCGGCAAGATCAACTTATATGAATTGCGCGCAAAGTTGGAAACATCTAAATGAGAATCACCGCACAAGTTGAAACCAAGGATTTGAGTCAGTTCATAGAACATAAAGTTTTCTGCAATAAACCAAAATAAAAGTGACGACGGATGTTGGTGGACCAACGAAAAAGGCCCCTTAAAATTCTTAATAGAAATGCACAAATTTTCTGAGCATTTTCAAAAGCGAAATATGTATTGCCGAAGGCAAATATAAGACAAAAATTCAAACATTTAAGTTTGTTGGAAGGACTGGATGCTTCAAAGTTGCTCATAACACAACCTTTGCAACCTGTTTATATGGACTGAAAATTGTTCAGGTACTACATGCTTCAGAAACCTATTCACCTTGTTGAAAAAAAAAAACGCATCGTTAGAATAGGGTATGTTTTAGACCTGGCGCATTTCCAAAACTTTTAAGTGCCTTTTATTGCACCATTTACAAAGCAGGGGCATATGTGCCAAACAAACAACCAATCTCTTTGACTTTAGTTTCCTCATCGCAAGAATATATATTGAATAAAAACAGGCAAAGTGCTTCAAGTTTTTAAAGGCTTTGAAACTTCTTGAAATTCTGAACGCAGCTGTTTAATCATATGTGTAATTCTTGCCCTCGCAAGACTTTTCCCTTTTAAGCACATTTTCCTGAAGGAAAAAAACAAACGTTTTATATCACTTTCGTGAGAATTTCATTGACTTGTCTGAATTGTCTAAATTGCATATATCATGTTCAAAAGAATAATTTATTTTTTTCTGCAGTTAAAGATTCAAGTCATTTAATGTTCTCGTCATTTCAACCAAAATTCCGAAATCTTCCTGCCAATTTTGGTTTTCTAGTCCTTCATACCTCGTGCTCTTTTCTTTTCAAAAACATCATTACTCTGCTGTTGCAATTTCTTGACACCTAAAAGTACTTTCTCTTTATTCCATTAACAATTGTCAAAATGCACGAGTATTTCGCCACACTGGCAGACCAAGTCAACTGTCGATTACCCGAAGAGACGTCCGTTCGTAACGTAGCTCCGATAGTTAACAAGCTTGGAAACCACTTCATAACCTTGCCAATCCTAATTAATGACCTGCAAATAGCGTTCTGATGGATAGAGCAGTCACGCTCCAACAGGGACGGGAACAAGTCAAGCTGATGCTGGTGCACGGTGCACGTCATACTAATTTTTCACTTTGCAAGCTTTCTTCATCAAAGCCGGTCTGTCATTGAGCAATTTCAATGAATTATTTATCCACCGCTATCTAATGGAATGATTTTTGCGACCGGCAAGTTGACGATCCCGGGTATTTTGTGAGCTCTGACCGAGACGAGCCCAGACGTGATCGCACGTGCGTTGACACGTCGGCTCCGCATGTTGGGCGAGTGGAGTTTCGTGTGCGCAAATATGAGAGTAACACAGAAGCCTCGGGCAATAAGGACTACGCAAAAAATTCAAAATGTTTTTGTCGAAATAAATCCATACACGCGCAGCAGGTGGAACGTGGTGTACATTCACGTGAACCCTGAAGCTCAAAAACGTCTATCTTCCGACCGAATGCGTTAATTTTTTTTCCGGTTATGAATGATTACCACCGCCTGTAACCCTTAATATTTAGTTGGGCCACATTTATCTTAACTATTGTTTGGCAGAGGCCACGGCCCCCTACTAAATGCGAATCTACTAAGAAACATCCTTTCTCTCAATGTCGGGAATACATGTTTCTTAACTTGCTAACTAAGACAGTGTAATCTGCGAGACCGCGTCATAACGTAAAAGAAAAATGAGGCTGTAGTTCACTGGGGCTCTAAATACAAATTCGATTCGACCTTGTGACACATCAGGAGGCTCAGGCGGCCTGAAATGGAAGGCAATTTATGAACCGCATGGTGGTGCAGGTGGCACGAGAACAATATTGTCCTGAACCACAAGTGAGCCGTCAACGTGATAGAAGCACGCCAACTCATCAACTTCTTTTCCTTCGTCATTAGGCTCGTGCAGATCGACCGCTGCTGGTCGCGAAATAAAAAGCATCGTCGTCGACTTAAAAAAAAGTCTCAGCGTTTTCCCAGGGCGCGCCGTTCCACCACCACCGCCGCCTGGCGGAGGCCGCTGCAAGCTAAGTAATTGCGGGCACGCTTGCGGGCGCCGCCGACAACCTCGGCCACCCCTTTCGCCCCCGCCCCGCCCCCCTCTTCAGCCTCCGCGTGGAGGCACCACTTGCAGGATTACCCGGCGTCGTCGTCTCCATGGCAACGCACCCTGTCGAGGCAGCCCCCGCCTTCTCGCTGCACCGGCGCGGCGCGTGCACATCGCCCGGACCGCCGTTAACGATGATTGCGACGGCGCCCGTCATAAATGATCCCGAGAGCGCCGTATCTCGCACTTCCTAAAGGAGAACTGTGGGGGAGCGCGGTGGAGGCAAGGCTAGGAGAGGAGAGGAGAGCGCTCGGTGGCTAGTGTTCCGTGTTCGCGTTTGTGTTTGTGGTGCAGTTATTCCACCGCAGAAGACGCACCCGAAGGCTCGTGCATCAGCACCCCAGGGGAGACGTCTCGTACTTCCCAAGGACGTGTCACGTGCAGGGCACCGGAATAGTTTATCACGTACAACCCAGGAGAGTTCATGAGGCTACAGGAATAGAAATGAACCGCTGGATTCTCTAGAAACTGCATACCAATGCATTCTCTTTCTGTAAACATTCCCTTACCGAAGAATATTTCATTTCCAGAAATCAAAAGTGGGGAAAATGTAAACACGTGGCATTAAAGTAATATAGTTAACTAGAAAGCTGACCTAGAATAGTATCGGTATTTTCCTATTTTGCCAATAAGCATGTGAGCCGAAAGGGCTGAACGATGTAAAACCAAGCACTCAATAAATTTACCATTAAACTATAATACGATTAAAAAAAAGAGGAGCGATGCCGATGAGATTGATGATTGTGGCCGTGGCGGATTTCATAACCATAACGTAAGCGACACAATTAGTACGGTCTAGCGCCTCGGGACAGGTGAACAGCACACTCATGTGAACACTTAAGGCTCTGTTGGTTCGAAAACCGGGTAAAGCGTGAATTTTTAAGTTTGGGTTCTTGGCATGGGAAGCATTCCGGGTCCTTCATGGGTTAATCAGTACCTGAATCCTTATATAATATTTGGCCTGTCAGGCAAATGTGTGAGATGTGTAATTGTGGATCAGGCTCCAAAACAATGGTGCCATCACCGAGACGGGGCCACGGGAACAAGTACGTGAAGATTCAAGGCCGAGATAGATCTATGCAGTGTCCAAGTAGTGCGAAGACGCTTTATCTAGTGATCTCTCGCCGGTAACACCAGACATCCTGGTAGATAGAACCGATAAGCAACCGAGAATAAACTCGTAGCACCCGCGAAGAGGATGGGGATAAACCGAAAAGCCTCATAGACTGAAGGAAATAGGAAACTAGCCAGTACGTGCAAGTCCGTGACTTGTGAACAGTAAACACAGCAGGTTCGCACAATGGTAATTTACGGCCATGTCCAAATTTTTGTTTCCCACTCCCGGGTTCTCATGTTTCAAATTTTGTTACATACATTTTATTTAGCTTATACAGACTTTTGACTGTGAGGTCGAGGAGACTTCAAAGTAGCTTTATGAATAATAAAACTAACCAATATTAAATTATACGAAATTAATTAAGCTCCGAAAATTGTATTACTTATTCCTACGTAGTAGTGTCATTTTTTACCCACAATTTAACACAGAGTTTTTATATTTGTGAATAATCAACTTTCTTAGTTTAAAATAAAATGTGAAAATAATGCAGACATTTTAAAAATGCCCAAATTTTTGCCCCCCTTGTGCGGCACACGATTTTTTTATGTAACCAGATCAGTGGAATTACTTTACAGGTGAATTAGCTTTTATTTATATAATATAATATTCTATAATATAATGAATGTATACTTTGATTTAAACACAGTAACGCTTCAGTCACAAGCTGGAAGGGGGGAAGGAGCGCACTGTCATTCAGTCGGGAGCTTCGTTACGATTTAAATCTTTGATATTGGAGTTGCTGGTTGAAAGACAATGCACCCTCTCCATCCAGCACGTGACCTTGAAGTGCCATTATGTTCAAATCTGAATATATACACTATAATGGTCTGAAGGCACGAGTATTATCAGCGCACGTTTTCTAGAGCCCTCGTTGCGAGATGAGTAGGGAGTTAAAATTATTTTTGTCAAAATATCCTCTGTCTTATTTGTAGTTCGTTTCTTGATGCAAAAAAATGTTTCATTATTCGGGAGCGAACATTTCTAGTTACCCGATTTTGTCTACAACGCTCGTTTTCTCATTTATTCTTCATTCAACCAATGTTGGCAAGGGAGTGGTAGATATTCCGGAGCTCAAGAAAACGTGCGCGTATAATAATAGAGTACACTTTTCCTGTTTAAAATAAACCTAAACGCAGCTCCCTGCCGCCCTCGCGCGCGGGCGGAGGCACTGACCGTTGTCGTTGAGGTCGACGGTGGTGGCCGTGGCGGCGTGGGCGGGCCCGTGGCCGAGGCCGTGGCCCGGCTGCAGCAGCGGGGACGCCAGCTCGCGCTGCAGCTGGATGGTCTCGTGCGTGAGGCTGCGGACGCGCGCCAGCAGCTCCTCATAGCTGGACACGGGCAGGCTCATGGCGGCGCCGCTCGGCGCGACGCTGCAGCACACGAAACACACACGCGCACGCTTAGCGACGTCAAACATTTTTCCATTTCAGGCATTTTTTACACCCAATTAAGGGGAAAAGGGTTTTATGTTTTTACTAAAATAGGTCTTTAGAATCACTAAATTATATTTAAAATCACTAAATTATATTTAAAATCACTAAATTATATTTAAAATCACTAAATTATATTTAAAATCATTAAATTATATTTAATTATTACTAAATTGTATTTAAAATAATTAAATTATATTTAATTATTATTAAACATTATTTATACATGCCTTATTTATACATGTCAAAAGGCAATTATTGTCGCTAAAACATGAGTAAATCGGCATATAGCAATGAAATACAACTATTGAAAAGAATTAATGTAAAAAATCAATACTTAAAATCGTTCATAATAATATTCGAACGCTAAAATTCATATCAGTACTTTAATGGAAGGAAATTGATTTTCTTTGTAATCTTGATTGCACCACTTTTTCCACACTTCGTCTATCAGATATATATTTTTCGTTTTGCTATAGAATACGATTACTATAACGGAATATTATAATAGTGGCATACCGAATTTCGGTATGATGTCTACAAATTTGTTCCATTTGCGACGCTGTCTCTATGAAATACGTTCCTGGATTTCGTTCAAGCTTGGAATTACATTGAAGAAAACGATTATTTCCGCAACGTTAATTGTTGCATAACAGAAGATCTAATCGCGCTCCAAGAAATCCCAACACTTCGCTTTCAAAACTTACTATCAGCTCTTGCATTCTTTGGAATATTATTGATTTCTCGTTAAAGATCAGTTAAAATATGTGCGTGACGGATGGCAGGGAAGTGTATTAAAAAGTAATCTGACCTCTGGGATATATTTTAAAGAATTTAAACTGATTCTTCATTAGGTCGATTTCCTCCCCCCTCACTTTAATTTTATTTAAGTTTATTAAACTTACGATTTGAGATACCAAATACGAATGATTTGTGATTGAAAAATAGTGACAGAATAGAAAAAGCCTAGTACTACTATAAAAATCGAGGAAAGCTTAGAACTCAAGGGTAGTTAACCTCCACTAATAAAGAAAAAACACCATCAATTAAATATTCAACTTCCTTTTCAGAAGCAGCGAGTTCAAGACCAACGTTTTGGAGAAGAGACACATGCGATCACCCGCCATCATGGAGGGGGATGAGAGGGAACATGGAAGAAGCGGGAGGGGGCAGACACGGGCAGTCGTGAGAAACGTGTTCTAACAAAACCGACGCGAATATCTGATAACGTTCCGAAAATCGCGCTTTATCGTTAATATAGATAGACTTTCCTTGGATCTTTACTCTTCGAATTACCTTATTACGAAAAAGTTGTGTTTACGTAACACTGATTAGGAAATGTTGAGAATTTCTTATCCCATCACGATTGTCAATGAGAACACATTATTAACTGTCAAGAAGAGCCTTCAAAAATAATTTTTTCTTCTCAATTCTAAAATTCAAATTCTACGAACGAAATACTCCATGGGATTTCAAAATAGTTACGTATATCATTAATTTCATCTTCCTTAGAGCTAAATTACTTTCTTCGAGTATGAAGTAATTTATAATTCGTAAAAAAAATGAAATTTAAAATACTTAATAGTGATTGGAGCCACAAATTAACCGAACATTATGGAGACCTAATAAAGGGGGCATTCTAAGTGATTTAGATAATTTACACGCTACCTGAGAGATCGCTTTGACCAGAAAATTGCTCCATGATTCACTTGTAGATCGAACGCCACGAATATTCGAATCACACAATACACTTCAACACGGAAATGAAGACCGAAATTGTAGTGAAATATTTATTGCTAGAGTCTGTAGCCCAGTGCCGGAGCAACGGGGAAGTACGCGGCCTGCGCGTTAGAATTTCGAGATTGCTCCGAGAAACACAAAGATGAACCATCAGTTATTCCTCCTAGTCCAGTGAGGTTATGTTTCAACTATCCTTTAACCACCACAAAAAATGTACGTATTACACGCGCAAGTTTTCTTTATACACGAGCTCCCTGGTTCTCACGCAGCGGTGAATAGCACAGCACGTTGAGATTCGCTGAGCTTCGATTCGGAACGGCACGTACCAATTTAAAATGCTGGCAACAACCACCTCCTACTTTCAAACAATCGTAGCATATCTCGTGGCACTCTTTGGCGAGTGAAGTTCATGCCAACAGTTAGTACGCCCTTTTAAACCGTGACGTAGCCAGAGACCTCCCCCCCCTTGCGCTTATAATATTCACGACTAAACGCGTTGTTGGATTTTCTTCGGAATTGAACAGGATGTCCCTTGGAGTCATTAAAACGTTTTTATTTACATCTTATACATATTCTTCAGATTCTTATATATTTTTAATGTTTGTATCTGTTTCAAAATGGTACTATTTTTAATGGTTCACGTGATGTTCAGCTTTTCTTCTAAGACATTCGGAAGTCGACGCATTGCAGTTCGATTTGCAGTCACAAGCAAACGCGTTCTTCGGTTTATTAGATCAGATTTTTGCACATGAGCACATAACTACTTATAGTACACTAATGCGCCTCTGCTCAAAATAAGAGGGTAGTTTATTAAATTCTGGTCTCTTCGAAGACCAGTGCATTATAAAGTGATGTTGAGCATCATGGAGTTAGTAAATAAGCACATTTGTTTTATGAACTTCACAACAATTATATGAACATTTAAAATTCAATATGCTTTCCAGATAAGCGATCGTAAGTTGAAAGCAATAACTTGTGTCTTATGTCCCAACGACAGCCGACCATGATGAGTTTTTCTGTAAACTCTTCGCATATTTACGTCACTACCTTCATGCACAGTACATTAAAAATGAACAACAGAACTTTGTGGTAAGTTAAATCGTTAGTGAAAAAATGTTAGAATGATATATCATCAGATTAAAAAAAACAGAAATAGGTATGCATTATACACATCTTCATGCTACTCTCAATATTTTTATTGCATATTCAGCGTTGAAACTACCGAATAAGAAACAGTCTCGGAATAGAATCCGTTTCACGTACAGAAAATCATCCGATTCGAGCAGACACCTTATGTGGAGGGAACACGTCTAGTGTCACGCCTCCGAGTAACTACTCGACCTTGCTCGGGTTATGTCATATTGGGCGGACTTCCGCCAATTGGGTGGAAAGTATCATTTCGCGGAATCTCGCCCAAGGGGGAGGGTGGATTTGCAACCTTTTGGAGGGAATTTAGGCGTTTCTTTTTATCATTGCCTTATTTTTGCCTTTTTATTATTGCCTTTAATTTGCCTTATTTTACGTGGCGAGACTCGGGCCATCAGGTCCGCTCTTCCGTCTGACCACGCAAATTTCGCTACGCTCTTTTCACCAACTAGGAGAGAAAGGAGGTATTTCTTGGGCGAGAAACAGGCGATTTGAATTTAGCTCAGAGGCGTCATTTAGGCTTGAGGATCTTTTACAAGCAAAGTAAATCTACGAACATGGGACAGCCGGCTTTACTTCCCCTCCGAAGGAAGGCGTACGAAGGATTTTTTCGCCCTTAAAAATCCACGGCTTCGTTCGGGTTTGAACCCGCCAACTTGGGTACAACAGTCCAGTACGCTAACCGTTACACCATCGCCGCCGCCTCATCATCATCACTTCCATCGAGGGGACGTTTTGGTCTCCTATAGCTGCGGCAGCGGCGGGTGCTCGAGTCGAATACAGATGTTTTTTATCCCGATGAGTGAAGCATCGAGGCGTCTTCCCGCCTTTCCGCGCACCCCTGCGAGCAACAGGCGAAGAAAGGAAGTGGCGGATCAGCTCACTCTTTCCTAGAAAGCACAACTCCGTCGACGCAACACAGCCCGAAGTTGCGTTATTGTTTTATCCCCCCGCGACTGTTAACCGGCGAAGATTCCTTTCGAGACGGCTGACTTTTTCTTCTCATCAACTTCGCCATTGGGCGGAATTTTGTGTCCCTTGGTGGCGGATTTTCTCGCGGCGGGTGTGGCAACCCTGGTCGGACGACCTCGAGAGCCGCTAGGCTTCTCCGGAGTGGCCCTTGGAAGGGCGCCGCGGGTAGGCCGGGGGTCTCGACGGCGACAAATCTCCAGGGTGCGCGAGGGCGATGAGCGACGACAGAGGGCGGGGCGGGGCAAGGGGG